AGGTCTGTTTCTGTGCCAAACTTCAAGTCAAAATTCAAAACTCAGTTTTTTTGGTGCTCCTGAGGGGGACCACGGCGTCCTGCTTAACAATATCGTAAAAATGCAGTATCTCGACAGTAATGGGCTAGCCGCCCGAACTCTTTTCAGGGTATTCATAGCTCATTAGGACCTACATGGTGCACATAGTTCTGACTCAAAAGCGATTGAACAGTTGGTTTTCTTCCCTCGTTAGAGAATTCGCGAAACTATTGATTTCTGATCATTTGAATTGAACATAATTATGATGGGAAGCAAGATTATTTAGGATTTCTATGATCATTTCGTTTGAAAAAATTTTATCAATAAGATGAAGAACATATCATGTTTTTGCATATTTTGATTCCATGGATTTTAGGGATAAATATTTCAATTTAGTAACGAAGATTCTAAAAAGATTCTGGAAATGAGTAGATATCACAATCAAATTTCACTACTACAAAACCTCATGTAAGAAAACAAAAAAAAAATCTGAATTTAATAATTTTATTCGAGTTTTCTTTGATTCTCAAGATGAAGAGAAATGGTAAATGCACAGTATCAAAGCTACATTTGACACATGCGATCCTCGACATAGAAAATCAGTTGATACTTAATGATATGGTTGCAGAAACAGTTTTGATATGTGTGTTGGTGAGACGCTTCTTTTTACTTACATCCACTACCTACATCTATATCTACGTCTACATCTAGATCCAGTCCCAGAGGCGTATTCACACTCAAATATTCAACTCATGTTTATGCTTCAGTCATGCCTCGCATACATACACTGACATTGTTTTTATTAGTTCTTTCTTGTTTGATATTGCCTATAAGTCTGTTGTTATCTTCGAGTATTTTTGGTATGGTGAAATATAGAGGTACACTTGAAAATTTCCAATTACATTGTTTGTTCTCGATATTAAAAGCTGTATAACGCTTATTCTTTTTTTTTCGAAATCTTCACACCAACTAGTAACACATCAATTAGCTATTAGAAGAGGTACGTAGACAATGCTTTTATTAGCGAAACATGATCTGTTTCTTCATTGAGATCAGGGTTGTCGATTGTTTTCAGGAGTGGGGAGGGATAAAATTTTGGCAGAAAATGCTTCTATTCCTTCAAAAATAGTAAAAATTTCCCAGAAAATATTAAATATTTTTCGCAGAAAGTGTTAAAAATTTTGGCAGACAGCCTAGCATTTTAGGGAGGGGAAATCCCCCCCCCCCCCTAATCGGCAAGCCTGATTGAGATCGTCTTTTACATGTCTGAGATACAGTTTTAACTATGAAGTAAAAATATCTCTGTTCGAAACAGATTATTTATGTTAAAGAGTTTTTTTTAATTACTCACAATAGATCTCTACGCTTTACCATCTGCCCAAAGTATTGTAGCTACGCGTACTCATGATAAAATTACGATATGTTTGCAAACCTATATCAAAATCAGTTTCGAAATATCTTAATTTTCTTTAGTTTTCATTCAATCAAAATACAATAGCATTCAGGTTTAAAAAAACACATTTCCTCGTAAACAATCAAATTTCAGAAATTGCTCCTACAGAAAAACTATAATATCTATGAAAGTCAATCCAGCTCATGAGCTGTCTATGTGACAAATTACTTCTCCACGAGCAGTTTAGCTTGTTATTCTGGCTCAGGTGATCCATCATCATTGACATTCTTTTATTGCATAAATTTAACCACACTTTGTCAGCAGTGGACAATAGTACGAAATCGTTGGGGAAATTGTTCCCGTTTATGGAGAAATGCTTCACCCCACATAAAATCATGCATAACAAGGAGAAATCGAAAGAAAGAAACAATAATAATATATATAATCTATTATATGATATTGTCCATATACTTGAACTTAGAGGGAAATGGTTTCTCTTTCAGAGGGAAATGGTTCAACAAGGAGAAATGGAAAGAAAGAAAAAAAAAATATATATACATATAATCTATTATATGGAGAAATAAAGAAAACCTAACTCTATCTCTATTAGATGAAAAAAAAATGATTATTTCATTAGAACGACATAAAATTAAAGGAAAACTACCTATATCTCTATTAGATGCGAAAAATGATTTTTTTCATTAAGATGGAATGAAAAATAAAGAAAAACTATCTATTTCTTCACTAGATGAAAAAAGAAGATTTTTCTCATTAAAATGCAATAGAACTAGAGGAATCCTAACTCAATCTTTACCCTATATAAAATGATTATTTTTATTCAGATGGAAAATAACGTAAGGAAAACTAACTCATTTCACCAACTATTTTAACCATTTCATATGGAAAAAATCCGTATCTGCTAGAAAATCTTATACAAGAGACAAAATAAAATAATCGATTTCTCTTTGAATAAACCCATTTCTCTTTATAAATAGAGAAATGAATGAAGCATTTCTCCTTGTATTTTAACCATATCTGGCGGAATAAATCCATATCTGCTAGAAAATCCTATATAAGAGAGAAAATAAAATAATCGATTTCTCTTTGAATAAATCCATTTCCCTTTATACATAGAGAAATGGATGAACCATTTCTCCTGCAATTTTAACCATTTCTGTTGGGAAAAATCCATATCTGCTGGAAAATCCAATATAAGTGAGAAAATAAAACAATCCATTTCTCTTTATAAATAGAGAAATGGATGAACTATTTCTGCTGCAATTTTAACAATTTCTGTTGGGAAAAATCCATATCTGCTAGAAAATCCTATATAAGAGAGAAAATAAAATAATCCATTTCTCTTTATCAATAGAGAAATGGATGAACTATTTCTGCTGCAATTTTATCCATTTCTCTTTATAAATAGAGAAATGGTTGAACCATTTCTCCTGCAAGTTTAACCATTTCTGCTGGAAAAAATTCATATGTGCTACAAAATCCTATGTAAGAGAGAAAATAAAATAATCGATTTCTCTTTGAATAAATCCATTTCTCTTTATACACAGAGAAATGGATGAAGCATTTCTCCTGGTATTTTAACCATTTCTGCTGGAAAAAATCCATATCTGCTAGAAAATCC